AAGCATGAACCACCACACCTGCCCTACATATCTTTTTAAATTTTTCCCCCCAGAAGCATGGATTCAAATTGCCCTGAATATTGACTCCCGAGAGTATAAACATCTTAACTTTAATATCTGTTTTACATCTTAATCCAAAACCATTTAATTTAACCCTGAGGGCCATCCACATGTGAAAAGGAAAATTATAAGTCTCTTCCAAATTGTGCAAAATACTATTGCCAATGGTGAATAACAGTGTTCCTTGCATGCTAATTAAGCCACATCTATCCATAATCTCTTTTTTTAAACATCTAGGAAGTTAACTCCACCTCCATTCCTTGACTCAATTAACATCCTGTCATGATACTTTTCCCTACTTTTTTTTTTTTTTTGAGACAAAGTCCCACTGTCACCTGGGCTCTAGAGTGCAGTGGCCTCATCCTAGCTCACTGCAACATCAAACTCCTGGGCTCAAGTGATCCTCCTGCCTCAGTGTCCCATGTAGCTGAGACTACAGGCATGTGCCACCATGCCTGGTAAATTTTTTCATTTTCTTAGTAGAGACGGGGGTCTCACTCTTGCTCTGGCTAGTCTTGAACTCCTGGTTTCAAGTGATCCTCCTGTCTTGGCCTCCCAAAGTGCTAGGATTATAGGCATGAGCCACCACACCCGGCCGACTTTTCTCCACTTTTAAAATTAAATCTCTTGAGGGCATTTTCTGCCCACCCTGTTTCCATTTTCATAAACATATGTATCCTCAATTCACTGAAAATTGGGTTTTATTCTCTCACCTTCATATTCATGAAAAGAAAAAAAAGTTACCAATGGAAACTACTAAGACTTTGCACAATATAATTCTCAAAAGACTGTTAGAATTCCTAACATGACTTTGTTGGTTTCTTGTCTGCAGTTACTGCTGGGTTTGTTCAGGGTTGTCAACAGAGAAAATTACAACAAATTTAGATCTAATTGTCTTTTATCTGTAATTCATGAATCAGGGCAGTCTGGATTCTACAAAGAGTTAGGGCTCCCACTGAACAATGGCAGAATAGTGGGTTTTGTAAGATGGGAACAAGGAAACAGAAAAATAGAAAAAAAATCTGATTGGTTAACATCAGCTTGCTTTAGGTTACTATTTTCTAAGGATTAAAGCACAGGGGACTTCCTTATTATGCTGATTCAGGTAGACTGCAATCTCCTGCTTTCAGAAAAAAACTGGTCTGGTTTCAGATCTCTCTGCTTCCTCAAAGTTTCAGTTTGATTATGTGGCATTTAGCATGAGTGACTCCATTTTGGTTTGGTCTAGTCTGTTGGTGTCTAGTGTAGGAACTCAGTCCAAAACAATGGGCTCCCATAATTATTGTTTAACAGTGTTCACCTCTCTCCATTCCTTTTTCCATCTACACTCATTCTTTTCATAGTCTTGTAACCAAATGCAAGTCGGACTGCTCATCGCTTGAAAAGCCAGACTGTAGAGACAAGTGTTGGCGATAGGAAAAGCTGGTTTATTCAAGAGCCAGCACCGTGAGATGGCAGATTCATGGTACAAAGATCACATCAAATTCCCCAGGCTGCCCAAAGGTTTTAATGGGGAAGGAGGTGTGTAAGATCAGCATGCCTTGTTCTGGTGGTTACTTTGAGTAATGGGCCATCTAGCGGTCCAGCCTGTTTGAGATAGGTGGGAAACGGAGTCTTAAGGCCACACGTGGCCTTCTAGGTCCTTGAGTGCTGCCTTTTACACAACAAATCCTTTTATCTTTATTCAGATATTTTTGTTTGTCTTTTAGATTTTTATTTTTGAAATGAATATATTTAAAAT